TAACAGGTGCCTTACTAGTAGTAACAAGTGCCACGCTAGTAGTAACAAGTGCATCGCTATTAGTAACAAGAAGCTATCGACGTCCGACACATGTGACACACCAAACCTTTTCATGTGTCGATTACATACGAGGAAACGCGACTCTACAGTCCAATCCCGGCGTTTTCGTCGTTTTCGTTGGAGTCTGTCAACGACGGGTTGAGCAAAAAGATCAGCATTGCTACAGGCTAATTCTCATGAAATCAACTTCCTGCAGAGCTGAAAGTACAAAGTTTTCGGGGCTGGAAGTTTAAAGTACTTTGTGTCTGAAGTTGGGTTTTATGTCATGAAGTGTTTGTGCACTTGCCAGCCTTCCTGTTCGTTGTCACCAATGGACTACTCTACACTTCTGTTGAGCTTGTCATGCGGTTCGTTGCTACGTCCTGCCTCGCCTGGAGTTTTGCAGGAACTGCAGCATGTACAGCGGACCCCTCCTTCTTTGCGTTCACATGTCTCATATCATCTGCTATCTCCTTGCTGTTGGTCTTGCTTCATGTGTTGAATTCGTTTGAGTGCATCCACTACTGATCTTTTGCTTTCTACTACTCCCATTCAAACACTCCCAATCACAACATGAAACCATCAAAGAACTACCCCCACCATCAGCCACCCTCTTCCCGGCCTCACACGAGTCACACCCGAGCCACCTCTGCCCGAGCGCCTGCTGCGCCAACTTCCGTGCGACGGCTTCCGCCGGCCTCCCAAGCACCACGTCCACGCCGAGCCATGGGCCCTTTGTTAAAAACCCAATGTAGGGTACCAAATAGACGACAAAAACGATAGATAACTACAGTGCTTGTGGGCTTTATTTAGGGCTTAGATGGGTTGACACCCCAAACACCCCAAACCGAATGATCTTGGTTTGAGCAAAATCGTGCCAACTTCCCAAAGCATGCCATGTGATTTGGCAAAATGGATGAAAAGCATTTGCCCAGTCTGGGCCATCTGGTGAAATGGATCCCAGCCCCAATGGTCTAGCAATGTCCAGCATCAGTATGAAGCCTCGAACATGGAAAGTGGAAAGTGACCCTGGGGACGACAAGAGTTCCTTTTCGAAGAGGTTGGTGTTCCACAAGTTCCCATGTAGTTCGTCCGAGGGTAGGTGTTCATTTCCTTTATTCCTGCACATCTCCCCGCAAGAAAAAGATGTAAACAGATTGACAGGTGGCTGTGGATCATGGCACCAGGATACCGACCGACCTACATTCTTCGGTCGTTCGCTATGGACGACCATCAGGCATCATCAGGCTCCAGGTTTGGAATGGTCTTGACCCATCCCCCATTGAAATCCACTCTCCGTCTCTCCGCCCACCTCAAGGGTGGTGAGGTTTTGGTCACCTCCACCGCCTCTGCGGCAACAAGCTGCCGTGGTGGTGCTCGTTTTTAGAGCACTGGGATGTGGGGGGGGTCATACCCTAAGAAAAGAGTTGATAGACCGGCAATAGCCGTTGGGTATCGAATATATGTAAATCACTCCTGCTGTAGCAGTTGAAACCAAATAACTATACATATTCCTCCAGATAATATCAAAGACCCCAAAAAGCCCGGCTTGAAAAGTGTGCTCCGGGACAGATTGGCCCTCTCCGGCGTAGGACATCAGTGCCAACATTCCGGATCAACCAGGTTTACCAATAGCTTATTGTTACTAGTAGCTATTTGCTCCTAGTAGTAGTAGTAGTAGTAGTAGTAGTAGTAGCGATGCCCTTTGTTACTAGTAGCTTCTTGCTCCTAGTAGTAAGGCCAGGAGCTACTAGTAGCGTCCTTGCTCCTAGTAAAATGCCCTCTGCTACTAGGAGCTTCTTGCTACTAACATGGTGATGGCTATAGCCATGTACCCTTCCAATCTTGAGAGGTCCCAGTTTTTCTTCAGGCTGAACCAAAAGAATCACTTGAACCGGACTTGACTTGACTTGTGGCAAATTGGCAGTGCGCTGTAAGTCTCCCATGCCACAGAGGCCATCGTGCGCTGCTCTCCGAGGGAGCTCCGAGGCAGCATGCCCCTGCCTCCTTGAGCTCCGTCGGCTCCGCTCCTTGACCTGTCCGCTCACGTGGGGCACTCGGACACGTGGGAAGCATGCGTAAGGAAGACATCCCGGGGCTGGCCCGGGCAAAAAAGGTGTGGGCTGGCACGGGCAAGGTCGTGGTTCATGCGAAGCTTGAGAAAGGAAGGGTCCCGGAGATTTCACGCTCTCACTTGCTGGCAGTAGTAGGGAAAGACCATGAAATCGACAGAAGGTTCAAATTCGTTGTCATTGTGCCCGGTACAGCCAAATCAATCCGGACACCACAGTTTTCGCCCCCGAACCGAGACCCAATGCAGCTGTAAACGTTTCAAGTCTTAGTCGATATTCCCTCTGCCAGGGTCTCGCTTCCCACGACTGTCGAGATCACCTCTCTACCTCTCTACCGCTCCCTTCGCTCAGAACGCTCCAAGAGGAGCCAACCCGCTTTCTTTTTTTTCCCGCGAGCTCGAGGTGCACACGCAGGAAGGCGCTCCAGTCGCCACCCTCGGAGCTCAATTGCTTCAGATCCCAAAAGGGTAACGCCACCTGGAGTGCCGAACAAGTCGCCGAACGAGCGCCTGGGACGAACCGAGTCTCGGTGATGGACCTGGCGGTTACTTCTCGAGTTCGGCCCCGATTTGAACACGGAGAAATCCGCCTGGCCGACCTGGCGACCTCCTTCCAGAGTCACATGGCTCATGATGGAGCGCCTAGCTATGCTCTTTGAGGACGACCGTCGGTCAGGTCTTCACATCCAACAGGACGAGCATCCGTCCGGTAGCCCTTCTCCTTCAGCAAGAGGTGCCGCAAGGTGGGACTGGTGGGCCAAGAGATGTGGTCCAAATCGATCACCGTTTTGGACCTGCCACGACAGCGAGCGAATCAGTGAAATGCCCACGAAGTCGAATCTGTAAACGCTTTTTGTGGCGATGGGGCGAGGGGGGAGAAGGTGTTCTGCACAAGAAAACACTTGCCAGGACCTTCAGTTCGTGACCTCTTTGGAGTCTCTAAGTGACCTTTTACATGCCTTTTCAAGGACGGTCACTTTGCAGGTCCTGTTAAAAGAAAAACGAGATGGAATGTGGAAATGTGAATGGCCAAACTCCTTGACAGATTGGGGAATGGTCCACTTCTCCTGGATCCAGGAATATGGTGGAGATCCCGATGCCAGTATGTCCAATACCTTGTCTATCCTTGGCTCATTTCCCCATGTGGATACTGCATGTTGCTGTTTCCTTATCTGGATCGTTTGCAGTCACTAGTGCCTCAATCGGTGGACTCTCTTCGATCTCTTCGATTGACGAGAGCCAACAACGAAGAGATCCGGCCAGCCGTTGAGATCCGCCATCGAACCACTCCGCGCCCCTCGCCGGCCTCTGGTTCAGGAAGTCCACGCTGAAGCCACAAAGCCAAGCCACTGGACCCTGGAAGCCCGGATCAGGCATGAGGGCCCGGTGCACCTCGCTCGGAAGCCCGGTGCACACCTCGAACAAATACCTTGGATCTTCCTCTGGGCCGATCGAACACCTGAAGAGGACAAAACACAAAAAAGTGCCCAGGATCGCGGAGCGTGCAGGAACTGCAGGAATCGTCCCGAAGCTGTCTCTTTCCTTACCCAAACACTCCATGTCTGTCATATATGCCTATTTGCATTGACCCCTCAAACCACCCCAATGTATATATAGGTATGAATTTACCACCATCGTCTCTGCACTCCGTACCTGACAGGAGCAATAAAACATGTCACGCAAACCTCACAAAAATCAAACAACATGGGTGGTGACTCGGGTCGTCACATGGGTGTGTATTCGAAGTGAGACCTCCGGGCCGGCGTTCCCCTGGGATCGGTTCGGAAAATAGACCAAGCCCCGACCAGCTGCGCCCTGGACCACTCTCGTCGTTGCACGACTTCACCACCGCGCGACCTGCGCCCGCAGGGGCGACCCCGAACGTGCCCAGCGCTCCACCTGGCGTCGTGAAGCCCGAAACGGTCGGACCTCGCCGACCGGTGCCGGGTGAGTGAAGGTGACGGCGGAGACGTGTCTTCGTGAATCCCCAAGAATTGCTCGACCCCATTGACATCTACGGAACCCAAATCCAGAAGAGCTCTCCCCACCTATCTTTTTTAAGGCTTGAAAATGCTCTGTCGACAATGTGTGGCAAGCGTAGTCAAACTAACGGGACCCTGTGCCTCCTCCTTGTTCGCCTCCTCTGCCGCTGAACGCCACTGAACGGCCAGCTCAGAGTGCAGGCCATGACAAGCTACATAGGAACATACCTGCATGCAGGACAGCACACACATCCATCAATTCCAATATACAAAGTCCAAGGTTTTACACCCCGACAGCCTCTTTCTCCCTGGATTCTCCCCCCCTTGAGTGGCAAGGATGCTTGTAGGGATTTCCACAAAGAAAGCATGGCATCTCAATCTGAGACATCCGTGGACATCTGGGGCACTTTGCATGGACTTCATGCCACCCGCCCTCTTTGCAAAACAAATCTGGCCACCCGGCTGACTCCTCCTTCTTGCCCTCTCCAGGTTCCAAAAGCCCGCTTGTTTCTTCTTCGGGCCACGGGAGCAAGGACGCTACTAGGGCCTCCTGGCCTTACTACTAGGAGCAAGAAGCTACTAGGAGCAAAGGGCATCGCTACTAGGAGCAAGGACACTACTAGGGGCTCCTACCGAAGGGCCTACCTCTCAGTACCCCTCTCGGCCACTCCCCCCACGCCTACCTCGTGCAGCATCACCAGGACGCTTCGTGGCACGTCCACCGCGGAGGTCGCGTGAGTGTCCAAAAGCCGGAGAACGTCCTTCGCTATCCGGGTAGCCAAGGACAGTGGGTTGGTGGCAAAAGAAATCATGAGTTTGTGATCATGGAAAACATATATATATATAATCATATAATATATATATATATAATATGAAAGCATTCTACAACAAACTGTACGCTAGAGTATCTTTCCAGGTAGGGTGCTGATAGAGGATCAGTGGAGGAGCTTCGGAGGAACACACAAAAATCTTCCAAATCCATCCAATCCTTTGTTTTAAATACATTTGGAGGCACCATCTTAAATCTTGATTCCCATGTCTTGTTGTAGTTTTACATCATTGGTGTGTTCCTTTTCCTCGCCCAAAAAATCCTTTAAGTTGTTCTTCTCGTGTCATGAACAGTCCAAGGTGGCCCACGCATGCATGTGGATCAACAAGCAAGCTTAGAACAGAGCTGCCGCCACTGCAAAGAGGAATCTGGAGGAATCTTTGAGGCTCAGTCGCGAATCTGTGGAAAAGTCTTACAACTGTGACTTCGTCAATTTGCCTGTCCGAGCGTCTGGCATGTATTGAGGAAGCTGAAGGACCGCAAAGGCCCAAGCGACCGACACATCTGCACGCAAGTTCCGGGTGCTTCCAGCCACGTACTGAGCCTGGCTCGTTGAACAGAATCGCTACACTGCGCCGATTCTTCCCCCCCGAGAACAAGCATCTGTTTAATGTTCGAAGTGTTCATCTTCCAAACCATCATAAGTGCGTTGCTATACATATGTTTACTTTTTTTAAATATGTAACTGGGTAACGGGTCAAGTGTGGGTATCTCCAATGTTTAAATTACTCTAAATTCTGGTTGATGCTGCTGAGGTCGCCGTAGCCAAGAGCGATGCTGAAGATATTCCTGCTGTCAGAAACACTGTGCTTGAGACATCCCCAAAGGTTCGGGAATTTGATTTCATCCATTGCATCTCTCCAATGTGTGAAGACCATGCAGAAGTGGAAGGCGTGGCACGTGGTCGTGGATGAGACTGGACGAACCTCCAGTCGGCTCAACTTTTTGCTAAAGGACTTTTGGTTTGTTGCTTGCACGTCTAGTTGCAGTACTCATATGCCAGTCCCGTGGTTGGTTGGCTTCATGCATGGGCCACAAAAAGCACGTTGATAAAGTTGCACCTAAACTGCAGCACCTTTCTTGGCTTCAATGGTTGTGGGGCTTAGGTCAGCTTTGTTGCTCTATATATATATACCAATATTACAAATCCAACACTTCCAACAAGCCAGAACTCCACTTATCTTCCTATTTTCCTAAGAGAAACCTCCATGCTAGATCTCAGCTCATCGTATCAAGTCAAGCAGCCTATCTCCCCCCACAAAAAAAAGACCTGGACTGGACATCTAAGAATGATCTCCGGGCAGTCTGGGTGGGCTGTTGGACTGTTGCTCTCCAAGTAGCTGCGAGCACTTGCTTCACAGTCTGCCACTTGCCCTGCCAATCGGGGTTGCTGAGCGCCAGCGCGAAGAGCAACCTGCCGAAGCGAAACGCGACTCGGCTCTCGTCCACTTCGGCTCCGTGACACCGCCGGTGTTACACCATCTCCTCCTCACTTTCGACGAAGATCCCCCAAGGATCGATGTGGAGCGGGTGGAGCGACATGGGTCCGGCATCTCCGGCAGGAAACCTTCCAGTGAGGTGGCAAACCTCCACCGCAAGCACCTCTGGAAGAGCATGCCAGCTTTCCCCTTATGCTTGGAGTGGCTTCGGCGAACTTGGTGCTGGCTTCGGTGTTCCGTCGACCATACTTGCTTCTTATATTGCCTAGTGTTGGTAAGTCGTACAGTGGATGATCGAACTCCAAGGGATATTGCTCCACTACAATCAACATCAATCAACACCTTACCCATTGGATAACCGTCTGAGATATCATATGTTTATTGTCATATGGATAATCATATGATATATTTTATATAACATAGATAATCTCCGGATATCATATGTTTCATTGGGACAAACTCCTGCCTTACCTTGGGCAGCGTGGTTCATCCCCTCTTCCAATGGTCTTTTATAGCGAGTCTCTCGTTCTTCCAAACGAGTCTCTCGATCTTTGGAGGATTTCGTCCAACAGTCAACGTCAACGTGTTGTTTTTTCCCCAAACAGTTTACTGTTAGGGGTTCTCAATGCTTTAAAGAATGGTCGCCTTGGTGCTGGATGGTCTGGTCGGGTTCCCGGCCGGCTTGTCTCCCACTTCCTTTCATTTGTCTCCCAGTTCTTTTCATTTGTCTCCCAAGCTGGGTGCTTGTGGTCGGGTTCCCGGCTGGCTTGTCTCCCACTTCCTTTCATTTGTCTCCCACTTCTTTTCATTTGTCTCCCAGTTCTTTTCATTTGTCT